GGTGTCAAAGAAAAACCAGCTTCTTAAGCAAAGGAGCCTGGTAGCACCCCTAACCACACACACAAACTTTACATAGGAATTGCTGGTTGATCTTGGGAAATTTCATTTCAGATTTGAACTTCAAATTCACGGCCATCTTCATTATGACACAAATACTAGGGTTTTCCGACTGATTTGAGTAGGTCTCTATCTCCCAATTCAATTTTATTGAGTTTCAAAAATAATAGTCTCCATATCTTCCCATCCAGCCTTATCTGACGGTCTCCTCTTACGTAGCTGCAGGACAATGATCAGAAGCAGGGAATTAACATTTGCATATATGGGGGACCAGAGAGATAGTACAGTGAATAAAGCACTTTCCTCGCATGTGGTCAAGCTGGGTTCAAGCCCCAGAATGTCATATGGTCACCTGAGCACCACCAGGAGTGATTACTGAATGCGGAGCCATGAATAACCCCCAAGCAAACACTGTGAGGTTAGGCCCCCAAAACAAAAGAAAAAAATCTTGCATATTTAACTTAATTAAGGATAATAAAATACATTTGGAGTACTTAATTAAATGAGTTTAAATACATTTAAATTATTATTTGGGGAAGGGACTTGGGGGACCATATAGTGCCAGGAATGGAACTTGGGGTTTCTTCATGCAAGGTGTTTCAGCCCTCTGAGCAACCTCCCCAGTCCTAAAATTATTTTTGAAGTCATTTTATCTCCCCACTCTCCTTCCCTTTGTTGTTCCTGCAATAACTGGAAAGTTTGGTTTGGGGTTTGGGTTTGGGTTTGGGGGCTAACCTGGCGGTGCTCAGGCATCACTCCTAACAGTGTTCAGGAAGCCATACAGGGTGTCAGGAATTGAACCTAGCCACATGTAGCAAGTAGCTAAATCTCTGTACTATCTCTCCAGTTCCTATACTGTCTCTCCACTTCCGCAGAGATTCCGTTTATGGAAAGCCTCCCAAGCACAAATGCAGTCATTTATAAGGAGTCATTTATAAGGAACCAATAAGGAGTGTCAGTGATTTTGAGTAGTTGGGGGGCTGTTTTTTTGAGAATTATAAATCATTTGGAATTGTTCATAGAAAAATTGATCCTTGGGGATCTAACAGAGACACTAGTAGTGAGACACCTTCTTCCTCTCAGCCAGTCTAGTCTCAAATAGCTTTAGGCGCCTCACAAAGACAGGCCTGGGTTCTCACAAGCTTCTTGAGCTCGCCCTGCCTGAAGCCTCCATAGAGCAAAAGACAAGCCCAGTCTGCCCCTGCCCACCCCCAGGGGGTCACTGTGTTCAAACAGATGCACATCAAAATAGGCATGTGATATGGCATATGATGGCAAGAGAATGCCAGCGGCACTGGTGGTGAGAGAAGGGGGCGGAATAGCTGCGAGGCTACTTTGAAGAGAAGGTACTATGGGGTAGGGAGACAGCTCAAAGCACTGGGTCCCTGATTTGACACCTGCCACTGAGTGGACTCCCTTGCACTACTGGATGTAGTCCTGGTGGGTCCCAGCACCACGGAGGAGCCCCCCAGCCCCCAACTGAGATTGCACTGTGGTGAGTCTGACATTATCATTCAGTCAGTCAGGGAAGAGTGATCTGTGCTTTAACTGAGCAGATGTTGCCAGAGCGCCTCCCTAGGCACTGGGTGTGAACCCAGATGAAAAAGTACAAGGAATTTGGCTGCAGTTCCATGATCAACAATCACAGAAAGGCACACAGGAAAGTGATTCATTAATTAAAACTGTGGAAAATATGTATAGGGCGGTGTAAGAATGCATTAGTGTCTGGACCCATTCTCTCTCTCTCTCTCTCTCTCTCTCTCTCTCTCTCTCTCTCTCTCGGGTTGGGGTAAACTGAGACCTGAAGGATTAAACAGCAAGAGCCATGAATAAAAGGATAGTTTCAAGAGAAAGATTAGCATTCCCGGCAAAATAAACAAACCCAAAACAAACCAGTGCACGAAGATCTGAGGTAGGCAGGGGCATGGTAATAAGGAAAATGGAAAAAGGTCAATGCCACTGAAGCATACAGGAAAGGGGGAGGGTGTTGTGCTAGGAGGCTGGGAGGCGGGTGAGGCTGGAAAGTGCAGGACCCTGGCATACAGTTCACATGGGGGAGGATTTAAGCTTACGTTTGTCATTTGTCAGAGAAAAACTTATTCTCAGTGGCTCAGTGAGGAAATGGGATCCCCTTGCCTAGTTCTGTGACAGAGTCAGTGGTTAATTTCAGGACCCAAGGAAACAATTCAAGACCTTGTTGGCTGGAAGATGGCTCAGTGGCTTAAATGCCAGTCTTGCAAATGTAAAGCCAAAAATTCAATCCCTGGTGCCTGTCACCTGCACCCGTGTGGTCCTCACAACTTGTTGTGATCCCTGGTTCCACAAGCAATTTCTGACTTCACTGCAGCCAACTGTGAGTACGCTAAGGACATGACTTTTGCACAGCTATTAAGATGTGCAAGCGCCACATTCGGCTATGTGACCATCTCCATTGAGCATATGTGTGTTCCACAACTAATGAGAGAGCACAGCGGCCAGGTGCTCAAGCACCAAATCTGCTGTGCAATGCATGGGGAGCATCACAAGGCAAACACCACAACCAATCATATGTGGGACTCCTGGTCCTTGCAATGTCACAGAGGAAAGAGAAGGAAGTGGGTGGCAAAAGGATCCAGGAAGCTGTGATATGGCTCAAATGTAGAGTTTATGCCTAGCCAATGGGCAGCCCTGAGAATAATCCCAGACATTGCACAGCTCCCTAAAGCATCACCCAGAGTGACTCCTTTAAAAATAAAAAGTCCAGCGGAAGAGGAATTGCTTTTTTTTTTCTTCCAAGCATGAAAAATCTTTCCTGGAAGCTCTTTGGCTCTCAGCACTGACCTTTTCCACCCTCAGCCAGAGTTGGGTCATATATTAATCCTCTCAGGCAATCACTAAGAATGGGATGAGGATCGCTGGGCTCTGTGGAATGTTCCCACATAGAAAGGATATATGGGGGCCAGACAGATAGTACAGTGGGTAGGGCATTTGCCTTGCACACTGCTGATCTCGGTTCAATTCCTAGAATTCCATATGGTCCCCGGAGCACAGCCAGGAGTAATTGCTGAGTATAGAGCCAGGAGTAACACCTGAGCATCACCAGGCATGTCCCAAAAAATAAAAATTAAAAAGGGAGATATATGAAAAAGAACATGAGAACTTCTGCCACTCCAGCCCTGCCAGCTTTGGGGTGTGGCCAACCCTGGCATTTTCTCCTGAGGAATTCATGGATTCATTTGCAGAGGGTTCATGATACTGGGGAGATCAGAAACTCCCCCAGATTGCCCAGATGCGTTTTTGCAAACCTTTCCTTTGGGATCAACAGCACCAAGCAGCTTTGGTGCTTTTAACAAGCTGGGAGAGGCTTTCTTTGGGAGACAGCAACAAGGAAACAAGCAATATTGAGTTTTCTCGTGGCTGGAGCGTGAGGGGTGCCGGGGTGAGAGAGAACAGACCTATTGCCTGATTTGGAGAGCTCTCAGTGAGAACAAGGCAAATATCACCTGAGGAGCTGCACGCACAGGGAGCCCGGGGCTGGTAGGGGCTAAGACTGCCCCCTGCTGGTAAGGCCCTTGAATCTGCAAAGACGCTTTTTTTCCCTTCTCAATCTCCCCAGGCAGGTCTAGGAAGCGCTGGGTAAAATCGATTTTGTGAATTCCGAAGTGAAAGTGCATGACGTATTTGTTCGACCTTGGGGGATCAAATATCTTTGTTGTTGTTGTTGTTGGGAGGAGGTTTGGTGGGGGCACACCCGGCGGCGCTCAGGGCATGCTCCTGGCTTCGTGCTCAGGGATCACTCTTGGTGGTGCTCAGGGATGCTGGCAAGTGCCCCATCCGCTGTGTTATCAGTCCAGCCCACGGAGAACAAAAAATCTATGGGTTCAGGGAATAAACGTGGACAAAAACCTAGAGGCGGGGAAGGGGAGGGGCATTTAGCGGCGGGGCCTGCAGGGGAGCTGCAGGAGCCAGCGCCCCGGCGCCAGGGCGGGGCTTTGTCCTGCGGCCACTGTGAGTCACCACGCCCAGGGCGCCTCCAGGGTTGGTGAAGCGTGCGTGGACACGAGCTGCCAGCAGCTAGGAGTAGGGGGAGTGGAAAAAAAAAAGTTTGCGGGAACCTATCCGCAACCGATCCGGGGGACCAGTTTGAGCTAAACGCCGGCCTTAGTTAGTCCTTGGGTCAGCAGGCGCCGGCGCCTCGGGGAAAGGAGCGGGGCTCGCTCGGTGGCACACGCACGTGCACACTCAGGCATCCCGGTCCAGCGCTTCACGCCCGCGCGCTCGTGAGCTCAGACCCCGCCCTGGGGCGTGTCCCGGGCGTGGCTTCACCAGGCCACGCCCCCGCCGTGGAGCCACCCGCGCGGCCCGGCCCTCCCCTCCCAGCCCGGTGACTCACGGCCGGGTGGGGCCGGCGCACAAACATCCCGCAGCTGGGGTGGGGAAGGGGCGGCCGGACTTCCGGCCCCCGTGACTCCGCGTCCTCCTCTGGAGCTTCTGCTTCCTCTAGAGCTCCTTGCAGGCGCCGGGCACTCTGGTGCCCTGGGGCCACGATGCTCCCGAGGCCCGGGCGTGGTACCCCACATCCCTCTCGCCCATCCCGCGCCCGTCCTCAACTCGGAGCCTCGAGGATGTGGGGCGCGGTGGAGCGAGCATCCGGCTAGCGGCGGGTTCGGGTTTTTGCAGCCGAGGGAGCTCTTTGGGGTGGGGGTTGACTCCTGTCTAGAAAGGAAAGGGGGCACGAACCTAGTTCGGGGGTGAACTTGGCGGCGAGAGAGCTGGATACGTCGCCTAGGCGCTGGGAAACGCGTTTTTGAAGCGTTCTTCTGAAAGTCTAAATTTGGAATGCCAGGACTCCAGAGGATGTGGCATGGGGGGGGGCGCTGATGGAGGGGGAAGCGCTGGGTTTCTGGGTGTTGGGGCGCTGCCCTGGGCTCAGCGTCGACAGAGGCATGACACGGACACAGGCCAGGTTGGAATGAGGACTTTAATGAGGCGGCCTTGCCCTGGGAACTCTTGCAGAGCCGAGGGGCGGTGGCCTGGAGGGCTGTCACCCACGTCTCCCTTCCGTTATTTCATAAGGCCGAGTTTTTTCCCAAAGCCCGAGAAGCTCTCAGCAGCCTGGTTAGTTGTCTTGTCGATGGTTTCCTGGGTGGTCTTGGTCACCTGGTTAATTGCTGGGGAGGGAAGGAGACAGGTAAGGGGAGGTGGGGGAGGCAGGGCCTTGCGGAATCTAGCCTGGGGGTGGGACGTGGGAGTTCTCCAGCTGACCGAGGGCTGCAGAGGAGAGGAGTGTCCTGGGGTTGGGGTGTGCTCACCCTCCGGCCCCCCATCCCCACCAGACCTTTCTGCCCAGCTTCTGTGGCTTGATCCACCACCTGCTGAGCCGCTGCTCCTGCTGCTGCTCCCGCTGCATTTACTGGAATAGAAAGAAAACTTTCAGGCTCTGCAGTTGCCAGGGCGCTCTGCCTCCCCTCCCCCCTCCCCATCTAGAGTCCTAGAGGCCTCGAGGGACTGAGACCATTCGGATGAGGTCCTTTAACCAAAGCCATCCAGTCTGTCTGTGAGAGGCAGGAGGCCTGGCCATGCCTCTGGGGTGTTCTTGTTTATTTATAACCGGGCGCCTCCTCTCTGCAGTTCCCTTCCCTTCTCAAGGATTGCTGAGAAAACGTCCCTGGGAGCGGGGAAGGCAGGGCAGGGCCAGGCCGGTGCTGGCACCTGGGCTATGACCCGCGCTGCTGCACATTGCCAGGCCAGAAAGAATCCCAGCCTCATGGGGCTGGAGCGATGCCACAGTACAGTGGGACAGGGGTTTGCTCACTCACAACCCACCCAGTTTCAATCCATGCACTCATTCCCAGCCCGCCGACGTGATCCCTGAGTGCAGAGCCAGGAGTAAGCCCTGAGTCTCTGGGTGTGCACCCCACACGCACTCACACACAAGAAAAGAATCTCATCCTCTTTATTTGTTGTTGTTTGTTGGGGGGGCCACACCCAGTGGTGTTCAGGACCTACTTGTGGCCTGGTCCTGCCAGGGCTTAGAGGACCATGCAGTGCCAGGGATCAAACTCAGGGCTCTTTTCATGAAAGCATTCACTCCAGCTCTTTGGGTTATCTCCCAAAACCCTCACCCATTCAAGTTCCCCGGGAGAGTGCACTGCATCCCAGAGCTGCCCACATCCCAACCCCAGATGAGTCATTTCATCCTTTATGAAACTCACCTTCTTTCCCTCCGGTGAATCCCTTAGAATTAGTACCCTCCCTCAGCAAAAGGATTTCACGGCAGTGCAAGCGAGCTTTGCAAAGGGCTGGAGCACATGCTGTGTAAGTAGGAAACCTGGGCTCCAGCCCCAGCACCGCACGGTCCCCTGAGTCACCACTCAACACCCAGCCAGCCGTAGCCCCTGAGCATGGCTGGGTGTGGCCACAAAACAGTAAACAGTATTTTACTTTGAATAGTGAGGATAGGCAGAGAGATAGTACCGAAGGCAGGGTGCTTGACTTGCTCACTGCTGACCTGGGTTCCATCCCCAGCACCACATATGGTCCCCTGAGCACAGAGCCAGGAGTCAGCTTTGAATATAACCAGGTGTGGCCCCAAGACTAACAAAAAAATGTAAAGTTTCCCTAGAAGCTATCCCCAGCACTTTTTACGCCTACCCTTGGTGCACAGTGAGCGGCTCTGCTTGGGCTAGGCCCCCTCACCGGGGCTCTGCCCCCCAGCGTGGGGCACACAAACCCTGTTGCCAGAGCCCCTATGGCAGACAGTTTCCGTTACTAGGAAACAAGCTGGGACAAGAAAAGCCCTTCAAGGTCAGGCCTTCTCTGAACTACTTGGTGTTGGCAGGTCCGGGGGCTCCAGGGCAGATGGGCCTCCAGAGATCTGACTCATCCTTGCTACCCAACCGGAAGGGACCTGTGTCCCGGCCCCTGGAGTTGGGGGTGGTGGCAGCTTCAGGAGATGGGGATGCGTGAGGGCAGAGAGGAGTCCGACTTCCTTAGTGGTTTCATCCCCCGGCACTGGGGACCCAGGGGTCTGGTTCCCGTGCAGTCTATGGATGGAGCCAGTCAGAACCGGAGTCCCTGAGTGGATGTTTGGGCCTGGGGTCTCCTCCCATCCCCTCACCCCTACCCCAGGGAAGTGTGCGCTGAGTCCTAGGAGGAGGGAGCTGGACCCTGCTGTGTGGTGAGGGAGGACCTAACCCGAAGGAGGTGATAGTTGAGGCAGGGTGGGAGCCTTCTGGAAGGAGGGCTTAAGGCAAGGACCCGTGCAGGGTTCGGGGTTGAAGGGGGCATCCTGAGCCATTTGCACAGTCCCAGCCAGTACTGCGGAAGGACCGCGAGAGGTGTCTCTCTGGGGCTTAGTGCAAACCCCAATAATGGAAGACCCCTCATGCACACCCGCAGCTGGGCTTCCTCACTTGACGAATGCCCAGAGGGCATTCGAGGTTCCTGGGACACCTCTGTTTAGGGCATCACCCCCAGGATCCTGTGGTCTGTGAGGGAGCCCAGCGGGGGTGGGGGAAGGAGGTCACCCGAGTACTACGGGAGGGTCCTTCCAAGCCTGGGCAGCGCCCACTGCTCAGCCCCACGCCTCTGCCCCAAGTGCCTCCCACGGATGCCCTCACAGGTGCCCAGGTTGGGCTCTGTCCTCACCAGCTTCCTGGGCCGCCCCCTCCACTTGCTTCTTCAGGTCAGGAAAGCCCTTGTTGGCCATGTCTGCGGGGTGCCGTCTGGTCTCGGGGAGCCTGTGCGCGCTGCGAACCTGCCCACAGCCCGCCTAGGAAGGCGGCTCCGCTTTTTAAGGCGCCCCAGGGCTGACCCGCCCCGCGCGAGGGGGGCCACGGAGGGGGGGCACGGGGCGGTTCCCGGCAGCCCGGCCGCTCTGGGGAGTGACCCGCCTGGCTCCGGGCTGCTCCACCCCCGCCCCCCGGCCCCGCCTGGACGGGCTCAGGAGCGCAGCGAGGCAGTGAGGCGGGGCCCCAAGCCAGGTTCGGAAGAGCAGAACGGGGCTGGGACGGGCACTCGGGGCATACCTCCCACCCCCACCCCCCCTTCTGGCTGACCCCAGCGTCCCTCCCAGTGCTCCTGGTTTGGCTCTGAGGCTGGAGCTGAGATGAATAATGACTGCTGCTCTTTGGACATTCAGGGGCTGGGGTTGGGGCTGCCCCAAAGCTTTACAGCCTCCGGTGGCATCTTTGCAACGACATGGTAAAACTGTGTTATTGCAGGGAGAAAGTGACGCGCACAGGGCGGGTTGGGGCTCGTCCCATTCCCCCTGGGACCCACAGAGTCCACGTTGGTGGCTATAACCCAGGACCCCCACGGTCTCCCCAGTGGGCTGGTGCCACACTCCACCTGGGCACTGCCACCTGCCCAGCTGCCAAGGAGACTTTCTGGTCGGTCAGAGAAGGTCAGGTAAATGCCGCTTCTCTAGTTGAGGGTGAGTCACCAGCAGTCATCCTTTTGACCCAGGCAGGGAGGAAGAGCAGGAGGTAGCCTGGGTGCCCACCCAGGCCAGCGGGTTGAAGTCAGTCACCCAAGGCCTGCTTGTCACCAGACAGAAAGGGGGGTGCAGGGAGGGCAAGGACATGTGTCAGGCCACATGGAGAGCATTGGAGCCAAGTACACTGCCCAGTCACCGTCTCTGGGAGGGGATGAGAGGGCTTGGTAACAGTCACGGCAGTGGTGGACCAGAGCGCTTGGAGGGAGTGCAGAGACTGCACATAGCAGGGGCTCGGGGATCCTAGGGACAGCAGAGTGACCCTCAGAGCACAGTTCTGCTGGGAAATTGGGCAGTTCAGAGAGGTGTCTGCGCCACTGCTCTCTGGGTCTCCCTGGCTTCTGCACCTCTGTCGGAGTCTTCCCTGTTCTGCTTGGTTTGAGGGCCACACCCAGCAGTGCTCAAGGCTAACTCCTGGCTCAGTGCCCGGAGCTGACTCCTGCTCGGTGCTCAGGGATCACTCCTGGCTCAGTGCTCGGGGATAACTCCTGGCTTGGTGCTCAGGGATCACTCCTGGGGGGCTCAGGGAACTATGTCCACATGGTGCTGGTGCTCCAACGATATAGGTTGTACACAAGGGAAGCAACCCCCTTATCTCTCCAGTCCCTCCTCACCCCTACCTTCCCAGGCCCATCTCTGCCCCTGCAATGCTTAGGGGTGGGGCTGGGGTGATGAGAAAGCCCCTGAAAGTTGTCAGCCCCCTGTGGGAGGTGTTTGCAAACTCATACACTCAGAGGCACACACAGGAAGATAGGGGGAAGGGAGGGAGAGAGAGAAAGGGAGGTGGGGGGGTGGAAGAGGAAGAGGGTGCAGTTTCCCAGGGAGGCAAAGTCAACCTCGGATACATGGAAGGGGAGGTACTAAGATCAGGTCGGGGGGAGGACGCCAAGTGCAGACTAACCGAAGGACTGCCACACCCTGCCCAGCCCTGCCCTCCGGCCTTGGGCAGGGAGCCCAGAGATGCCCAGAGAACAAAGGCCCCTGCCCAGAACCCCCTGATTACTGCCTCCACCTCTGCAACTCCTGTGACTCCTCAGGGAGTGCCCAGCCTCTGCGCCGGGCCTGCCAGCCCTCCCGAACCCACTAAAAGCGCCAGTCCCTGTGACCAGCGCTACCTCAGTCTCCCCAGCTCCCTGACGCTGCTGGGCTGCTGATGCTGGCTGGCATTGGGCCCGGTGGGCGAGAAGCAGGACAGCGAGGCAGCAGTTCCATCTGCTTTGGGGACAGCCAGGCCAGAGCCGGGGACATCTGAGCCAGCTCTGACTGGCACTGGAGTCAGACCTCTTGGGTTTAAAGACCCCGCCAAGGGCAAATCCTTTCTTCTCCCCGGGGCCTCAACGGGATGGAGGAGTGAGGAGAATGACAATAGCAGTCTCCCCTAAAATGGCTTTGTAAGGCCTGAACGGGCTGCAGGAGACCCTCACTCCGCTCCTCAGAGGAACCGTGGGATAGGGAGAGGACGCCCCCCGCCCCCTCAGCCTACACTGGGCAGCTGGGGAAACCGTCTGGAGCCTCGTCAGCGGCTGGTGACTCAGGAGCCAGGCCTGCTGGGCCTCTGCTGTCCCTGAACTTCCTCGCTCACTGCCCTTGGGCGGGTTCTTCAGTCATTCTCCGGAGAGCTGGCCCGCCTTGGGTCTGTTCTCCATAGACTGATTCTGAGGCTTGAGTGAGAAAAGGCACTGCCAGGTTCGAAATAGGGCGGGAGCACTCCCCACATTTGTTCCTGCAGTTTTTCTCTCCAGATTAGGTCTCCTCGCCAGTGTCTGGCTGTGTTCTCCAAAGTGTCTTGACAGGACTTCTGCGGCCAGGTGGGAGGGACACCTCGTCCAAGCTAGCTGCGTGCTCCGTGGGTGCAGGATGGGAGCAGTGCCAGAAATGCCCAGTGTGTCCCTTTAGGGCCCCAGGCCCCAGACCAGCTTCCTCTACTTCGTTGCAGCCTGGCCCAGCCTCTGAGGACGGGGAGCAGGGTGAGAGTCGGGTGGGGGCGGGAGGGATTATTCATGATGAAAAAACATAAAAGAGGAGGCACCAGTGGATACGGCCAGGGGTGGGAACTTGAATTTTATTTGGAATCACTTGAAAAAACTACAGCAGCATCTATGGGGTCAGAAGGAGGAGAGGGCATGAGGGGGTAGGGGAGAGGTGACAGGAACATGTGGGGAGACCCGTGGCAGGGGAGGGGGGAGACCCGTGGTGAGGGAGGGGGGTAGGAGGCGCAGGATGACTCCAGGGCCAGGAGAGGATGAGGTGCGGCACAGGGGTGTTCCTTGGCGCCTCCACAGCTGACAGGCGTCTTCTAGTCTCCCCCACTCTTGGCCTGGGAGAGAGAGTGACTGTCAGCCCGCAGTGGCCACCCTGAGTAGGGTGGGAACTGGGGTTGTGGATGGGGTGATCCATGAGGAAGCCTCTACTCAGGGATTGACAGAGATTCAGGGGCTCCCTCAAGGGCTCTGGGACCCCCAAAGGGAGGCAGTGAGTCTGTGAGGGAAGAGTTGTCCTCAAAACCCTCTATGTAGGGAGGCTGGCGCGAGACCCCCACAGACCCCGGGAGCCCAGCTCCTACCTCTTCAACCGCTTCCTCTTCCACATCGACTTCCTTTTCCTCCTGAGCCGCCGGGGCAGCCTGTTCCAGGTCCTCCTGAAGAAAAGCAAAAGTGTGTGGTTGGGGGGGGGGGGGGCGAGGATGTGGGGCGGTAGGGCAGGTTTTGTGGTCCTTATTGTCCCCAGCCTCTGAGATGAGCGAGGCCCCTCATCAGCTTGCTGTAAGTGGGGGGCTGGGGGTCAGGGTGACACAGGGGCTGTCCTGATACCTGTGTCTCAGAGCCTCGCTAAGGGCACACAGTTGCAGTTGCCATGGTCTGATGACACCAAGAGCTTCTGGGGGGTTCCAGATAACTGGAGCCCAGTCCACCACACATGCAGATGCCATGACTCCAGGAAGTGCCTACAGTGGTAGAGCATTTGCCTTGCATGATCAGACCCTGGGTTGGATTCCCAGCACCACACACACACACATGAACCACACAAATGAGAACTATAGTTTTCCTGCCGAGCTTCAAAATGGCCCTAGAAAGAGAATCACGTGAGCCCTGTTCCCTGGGGAGCTAAGGCCAGCGAGGCCCTAGTTACCTCGGTCACCTTACATGCAGCTCAAATATGCAGCTCATGAGCTTGTCCAGGCTGTGCCCTCACCCAGTGCCTCCTCCTCGCCTTTGCCCTGACTCTGGGATGGGCTGAGCCCAGGCTGGTCTAATGGGGATGGGGGGCAGCAGGGTTGGGACCACCCTCTCCCATTCCCCATCTCCTTCTACCCTCCCTGTCCAGCCTAACCTGAGAGCCTCCCTGCAGGTGGGCTCATGACGGCCAGTGGGAGAGGTTGAACTGAGTGATCCCCAGTCCACCTGGATCCCCATCTCAGCCTACTCGGGAGGGTCCTGTCACTTCCACGGACCACAGAGTCATCTGCCCCTTGGTGGCCTAGGAGGTCACTGAACCGTATCAGCAGTGGGTGGTTGCTGCTTTAAACCCGTTTCCCAGCGGCACCCTGGCCAACCCCCATCCTGGAGTCTGGGGTGACTCCAAGGGCTGAGCTGCCATGCCCCAAAGTCAGAGCAGAGCGATGAGGACAGCGGGGCCCCGCCCTGGGCCGCATGGAGGAGTAAGGGAGGGACAGGCCTGGAAGCTCCTGACCAGGATCACTAGTGATGGCAATCTAGTCCCCTCCATTTGTGGGGAGCTGAACTGTGTCATACAACTGCTTCCTGGGGCCATCCAAGGCCCGCTATGGGTGCTCCCAGCACTTCTGCTTTACAGAAGAGGGGCCAACAGCCTCCTGACGCTCCACCCTGGGACCCTGTGCCATACCTCGGGAGCCTGGCCCCAGAACCAGGGACAGGTGAGGTCCCTACCCTTCCACCCACCCACTCTGGGGCAGGGACACCCAGTGCTGGGTGCCAGAGCTCCTCATTCCCTGCCAGTGGGGTTGCAGTTCCCAGGAAGCCAGGCTGCGACTCATGTGGACTGGCCACGAGACCCGGGGCACCTTACCCTACTTAGCTTCTCTGGGCTTGGTTTCCAAGCCTCGTCTCATGGGATTTTTGTGCCAATTAAATGATTAAGGGCCGGGAAACTAGTTTCAAGGGCTGAGCACACACTGCGTGCGGGTGGCCTGGGTTTGATCCTCCAGCACTGCATGGTCCCCTGGCAGCGAGCTCCAGCAAGGAGGTGGAAGAAGCCCGGAGGCATTTCTGGGTGTGGCCCCCAAACAAAACAGAACAAAAAAGATTAAATGAGTCAATAAGTCAATAAATGTAAAATGCCGCCGGCAGAGTCTTCTCTGCAGTGAGGACGGGGGCAGCAACCCCAGACAGCTGGGCCCTCCTGGCAGGCCTCTGTTGCTTGGTGCTGATGGACACGCGCGCGCGCGCGCACACACACACACACACACACACACACACACACACACACACACACAAAGGCGAGGCAGTGGGTGGGGTCGGAGCCCACTTTGCTTTTCTGTCACCAGGGGGCGCTGTTTCCCCGCTTCTGCTGGGCGGTTGCTGGAAGCCCACCATGCCCCTGGAGGGAGGCCTGACGCTGGGATGCTGCGGGATGATGACTTGGCAGCTCTGGCCTGCGCTGTAGGGGAGGCTGCCCATCACTACAGAGGGGGTCCCGGGGACCCGGCTTTGGCTTGTAAATGGAGCATCTCTCCTAAACGCTGAGCATCATCAGGAGGGCGTGGCTTTGGGCCTCAGGCCGCGCCTGGTCCCAGGAGAGGAGAGGAGGTTCCATGCAGTAACCCATGCGTGCAATCCCCAAGCACACCCAGCGCAGACCACGCGCAGACCACGGGGCCACCTGCCAGCGGGGCGGGGTAAGGCGCGTCCACCGCGGGCTGCGCTGGGGCCGGTCTGAGAGTCAAGCTGGCCACCGGGTCTCACCTTCTGCACCACCCCAGCAGTGACCACGATGTTCTCCGCCTCCTCCACCGTCTTGTTGGCCACGGTGTTGACGCTGGTGACCACGGCCTCACTCACGGCGTTGGCCTGCTCCTTGGTCTTTTCTGCCACTGCGGGGGAAAACGCTCGCTGGCCCTGGTCCCCCCCAGGGTCATTCATCCCCGCCCCCTCAGAGCTGGTCTGCTCAAGTCCGGCCATGCTGTCCCCTTTTCCAGGGCACCCAAAATTCTGGCTCTAGGGAACACCTGGGATCGCCCCCTTTCTGAGTCCCGGAGCTGACGGGAGGGGTCACCCTGGGCGCATCTCAGGTTGTGGGGGAATCTGCACCCATGGCGATGTTGGGGTATGGGTTGTAAGATAAAGAGGTTAAGAAGGGCCCTGGGTTTGGGGCCTTCAATACCATCATGCAGAGGCGCTGAAGGACCAGCGGCCCTTCCCCCCTCCCCCCTCTGCAACCGGGGCCTTGGCCCCCTCACCTGAAGTCACACTCTGCACAACACCTTCCTTGGTCTTGGCTCCTAGGAAGGAAATGATGGATCAGCCCAGACCCACTCCTCCTAGTGTTTGGAGGGCCAGGCAGGGCAGACACCACACAATGTTGGACAAGCGTAGGTAGGGAATAAGGATGGCGTCTGGGGTCCGGCTGTTCTTTCACAGGCCACTTCCTGCTGTGTCTGGAGGAAGGGGATGGATGGGAAGTCAACAGGAAAGGATTGGGAGGGGGGGACGGGGGATGTGAGGGGTGTGGATGATAGAGCCAGATTGAGGTGGAGCACAGATGGTCCTCAGGTGTGTCTAGGACCCCGGACACAGAAGCAGGACTGGAACCAGGACAGCTGAGTCAGCAGCCGAACCCCGTCCCCCAGGACCTCTGAGGGATCGTGGCTAGACAAACAGAGTCTCCATCTCATTTCTCTAGCCCCACCCCTACCCCCTGGTCAAGGGGCGGGGGGGGGGGGGTGCAGCTGTAGCCTGGTGTCTGACTGCTATAGAGTTGGGGGCACCAAGCACTGGGCTCCATTCTTGGGGGTCCCAGCCTCCACCTTTGTGGTCATCCTCCAAGAAAAAATATCCCGCTAGGGTGCAATTTTGTGCATGTTTGTGTCCAAACAGGTGTGTGTGACGGCTGGATATCCTATTGTGGTCCCATCTGCGACCTCTGGAGCCCTGGGGGTGCTGAAATAGACACTAATGCAAGCGGGAGCGAGGGGGGATTGCTTCAGGGTCTGAGACCCTAACTCAACGCCACACCCTCATGGCTCAGATGCCTCCCCGGAACCAGCCGGGGGGTAGTCAGACCCAAAGCAACTCTACCCCCACCCCCACCCCCACCCCGGCTCGGCCACCACCAGCCCCACCCTGCTGCCCCGCCACGCCCCGACTCACCCACATACAGGACGCCCTCCTTGGTCTTCTCGGCCGCTTCAGTCACCCCTTGCTTCGTCTTCTCCACGGCTCCCACCACACCCTCCTTGGCGATGGAGAAGCCCTTCTTGAAGACGTCCATGGTGGTGGCAGGGGCGGGAGCCTGGACCTTCCGACTGGCCGGTGAGCTTGGCTGGCGCTGGCCTGAGAGCTGCCGCAGCCGCCGTCCCTGCTGCTGCCTCTTACTGACGCCAATGAAATATTGATGATGCGGTGGCTGGCCCATGGGAGCGGGGAGGCCTGTGTGGGGGTGGGGAGGGAGGGAGGGACGGGGCGGGGCCCTCTTCTCTCCACTTCCCACTCCCTGGGGTGGGGGGCAGCGGGGTGCATGGCCCCTGCACCCCTAACCCCCTGCTCAACCCTTCCCTCCTACCCCCTGCACGGCCAGGAGGGGGCCAGCAGGGACTGGACACATCCTTATCCATCACTGTCCCTCATTCAGGCCTGCCCCGCCCACCCGCCCAGGCTGGACTCAGCTGCCGTGAGTGATCACATTGGGGACACAAAGGGCTCCCCAGAGAGAGGCCTGGGCCACTGCAGGGCCACCCAGGCTGCTCAGGCACAAGTGTGACCAGCCTCCTCCGGCCAGGGCTGCCTGGCTGCTGGACGCCCTCCGGCGGGGTCAGAGGAGGAGGAGCTGGTCAGGGGCACCAAAAGGCCTTCCCCAGGCCGGCGCCCGCTGCACACTGAGCCGGGAACGCTTCTCCCCTGCTGAGCCTCCAGCCGCCCGCCTGCAGCCCTGCCTCCACGATGGGTTCCACACGCAGGGAGCAGCTCCCTTGGGGACGTGTTTGGTGGGACACCCCCGCCCCGTGGTCCTCGAACCCGGTGTCCCTGACCCGAGTTCTCTCAGGCACAGGAACTGGCCTGCAGTGTTGGCTGCCTCTGCAGGGGCCCGATAGGGGGGCCAGGGGGCCGGACAAGACTCACCGGGGGGCCCGCCCAGGCCACTTCCTCTCTTTGTTGTCCTGTGCTTTCTTTTCCTTCTGGGGCTGCACTTGGCGACCACGTCACGGGCAGTTTCTGGAGTCACTCGCCGAAGCTGAGACCTCCTGGACCTCCAAGATGATCCTGACGCTGTTGCTCGGTCTCGGGGCCTTCCCAGGCTGGGGGCTGCTGGGGACCTGGGCCCAGGACCCCAGTACCCACTTCTCTGAGTCACTCAGCCCCCCACTGTCCCCTGAGGTCTGGAGGGCAGAGGCTGAGGACAGCGGGGACCCCGTCAGACGGTAAGGAAGGCCTGGGTCTTGGGGGTGGTCACGGTACAGGCTTGAGTCCCAGCGCAGTCAGACCAGTTCTGGCCTCAGTGACCCATCTGTGGAATGGGTCTACATATCTACTGGCCAACCATGGAGCTGAGCATGGTGCTAGGTACTAGACTCCCCCTCAAGGGGCTACCTCTGCCAGCAGGTTGGGCACCCCAAGGCCAACATAAGGACCAGAAGGAATTTCCCATCTGATCCATGGTCAATAAGGGGCCTGGAGCCGAGACTGAATGAGAGCCTTCTTATCATTCCCTGCCCAGCATGGGGCAGTGTGGGGCTGAGACTCTGGTGTTCCCAGCTGGTGAGGCAGCGGCTTTCAAAGAAGTCAGTTCTCACAGCTGAAACCCCCAGCCCCCACTCCTCCAGCTGACTCAGCCTGAGGCAGAACTAGATAACAGATGCCCTGGGCACTTGATTTCCAGGAGTGTGTTTGTGTGTTTGGGGGGGGGGGGGGACTTGCCTGGCTCCTCAGCCTGGTCCCCAGGACTGCTCAGTGAGCAGAGGGAGTGCTGGACTCTGCCTCTGGGACAGCAAGGAAGCTGCATGTACCCCTGGAAGGGGCGGAACGGGCCTGCAGCGGCTCGGACCCTCCTGCAGGTAAGGTGCTGGGCCGAGGCTCTCTCCACAGGGAGTCCGCTGTTAGAATAGTAGGTGCCACTTAGTGGGCACCTCTGTGAACCTTCCCAACAGCCCTGGTTGCAGAGGACAGAAGCCTTAGCAGCCCGCCCGGTGCACACAGCCTAGGAGAACTGGAACCAGCATCTGGGTGTGACCTCAGGGCTGAGGGCTGTTCCCTGGAGCACTCAGAAGCAGCTGGAAACCAAGCGCTTCTCCTCTCTCTCTCTCTCTCTCTCTCTCTCTCTCTCTCTCTCTCTCTGTCTAACACACACACACATACACACTCAGAGATACATGCGTAGACACAGACATGCATGCACACATGGACACGCAAAGATACATGCTCAGACACACAGACATAACATGCTACCACATGCATGTCCCCCACCCCCCCTCAGTCCCCTGGTTCCTGTCTATCAGTGTATAGATTCAGAGGATGTGGGGTGGCCACTCATCATCAAGGGGCTCATCTAGCTGCCAGATTCGTTGCCAAACTGGCAGAAAGTACCGGGCTGAATGGGACAGTGCCCTCAGCCACAACATTTAGAGATGAGTGTGTGTGTGTGTGTGTGTGTGTGTGTGTGTGTGTGTGTGTGTGTGTGTGTGTGTGGTGCATGCACATGAACTCTCTGTGACAGAGGAGCTAGTAAGTGATGATTAGTGGGCTGGAGGAGAGGGAGTTGGGGAGACCTTATTTCCTCCCTCCACCCCTGTCTTGTCCAGATCTGTGAGACTGAGGTGACTTGGTGGGACTCCCGGGCACTCAGCTCTGATTTCAGGATCAAGAACTGAACCTTCCCTCCTCAAAGCCACTTGTGCCACAGATCCACGTGGGCGCTGCCTCCCTTCTCCTTTGGCGAGCAGGGTGAGGGGTACTCGGATGGGAAGGAGGAGCTCCTCATCCCATTCCTTTGGTTGCAGGGAGGAGGGCCTGGTCCCCCTTCCCCAGGGAGGGTCACCCAGAGGCGGCGAGGCACTGCCTGCGATCACTCAGCCATTCTCGCAGTGCCCAGTGTGTGCATGGCTGTGTGCCTATCTGCTCATGAGGACACTGGCCCAGGAACATCCAGACAGGTCCCAGCCAGTTTTAGGGCGTCCTGCCCACTGACCCGGAAGCCGCAGTCCACACCGGCTGGCTCGGGTTGCCGAGGGCCCCGGAGGGGCTGGTGAGAAAGGAAGGAAGAGCCGCACTGCTTCCTTGGGCTGATTGTTTCCTGTGGAGAGACGGAAATGCTGTCCAGTGCCCCTGCACCCGGGGAAGAGGAGGGGGTCCAAGCAGGCGCCCCCACCACAAGCCAACACTCTAAGGCTCGTCCCGGGATGGGGCGGGGGACCTCCAGCCTCTCGCCCCGCATTTGTCCTGCGCACCTGATGGTAGAGCCCCCCACAGGGCAGGCCTGGGCTCAGCCCCTTGGCAAGAAGAGCTTGACGGCTGGTGCCTGCACACCAGGTCCCGAGTGGGGGTGGCAGGGGGAGGCCCCCAGCTAGCTGCCTCCTTCCCTGGGGACCCCGGCTCGGCTAGGGCCAGGGGGGGAAGCTGTTTGGGAGGTGGGTCTCAGACACGGCTGTGGCTCCCGGGCCTGCAGCGGGGAGCTGGGCCCCAGCAGTCTGCCTCGGTCCTGCCTCACTGGGACAGTCCCTTGGGTTGCTGCTGTGCTTTCCATTCGTCAGGTGGCCCAGCGGGGTGGGAGGCCACCTGAAGCCTCACGTAGCAACAAGCGAGGGGTCAGGGCCAGGGACAGCCAGGCTGCAGCTCTCAGGCTTCTGTTACCAATTCTGACCTGCTGGAACCTCAGGCTGGGGAGGACAGAGACTGGGGGACCCGCAGAACTGGGGCTCCACAGCTGGCACCTCCCACCCCAGTTCCTGCTCTCCACAGCACGGGACCCTGGGTGGAACCAGGAAGGACCTACGAGAGTATCCAGGGAACCTGGGTATTCTGGGCTTCGCGGGCTTCCCCTGCTGGCCAAGAGACAGGACTCTCTTGGTAGTGCTCACACTCACGGCCCATGCAGGGGCCCGGACACAGGGCCACTAAGAGGCGTCTCCCTCCCAGGAAGACCAGCAGTCCTGCCGGCTGCTTGGCTAAGAGGCAATTAAGCATCCCAAGGGGGCAAAGGCTCCAGTTCGTTCATAATTCAGAAGCCTTCGGCTAATAGCCTTTCCCTGTTAAAGGTTCGTCTGCTTTCCACAAGGCCGCCTCCCTGAGCCCCCAGGGAGGATGGGGCGAGAATCTCTTCTACCACCTTCCAGGACCGGGGGAGGGACTTGGCTCAAGGTCACCCCTAGTCCAGGGAGGAGGAGAGCCCTGGCTTAGAAGCTCTGACTGACTCCCCTCCTCTATGACGGACTGTGTCAGATGTTTAGAGCAGCCCAAGTCAAGCTGGAGGACCCCCGAACGCATGCCCAGGCTGGTCCCTGCCCCTCAGCAGACCACTGGGACAGGCAGGCAGCACCCAGAGTGCCTCTCCCTCGGGCAGGGGCAGAGGAACAGGCCTGGGAGTAGGCGGCAGAGAGAACAATGACACACTTCAGTGAGCTGGGCTGGGGGCTCAGGCCCAGAGGGCTGGCAAGACACTGCCAAGAGCAGGAGGAAACCAAAGCAAAGGTCAGGAATGTTCCCAGGATTTCCAGGCCAGCAGCTCAGAGCGTGCCAAGGGGATGGGGCTGCCTGGAGTGGTGGGGGTGGGCTGGGGGGGCAATGGTTTGGGGAGAACAGTGGCTGCTGGAGCCTGAGGTTCCGGCAGGTCAGGAGAGAAAGTTCCTAAGCAGGAAGGGTGGGCAGCGCCTTTTTCAGTTCCGGGAGTTTGCCGTGGAAAGTTCCAGTCACTCCCTGGCACGCTGGACCGAACTTGGCATGCCCGGGACACAGGCCTCCAGTCTGCTCTGCAGTGGCTCAGATGCGCGTGCGAGGAACAAACTTGGTTAACAATGACACTTGGTTTTCTCAGCCTCAGCGCTGTTGGCGTTTGGGCTGGGCTAATTCCTGGTTGTGGGGGTGTCAGCTGTCCAGTGCGTTGTAGGGCATTGAGCAGTGTCCATAACCACCCACTAGATGCTAGCAGCACAGCCAACCTGCAACACAGAGGCATGACAACCGTAAATATCTCCAGAAGCCACCAAATAATGGAGCGGGGTGGGGTGGGGTGGATCTGCACATACACCCCTACTGCCACCCACTGGGAACTGCTATGCTCCTGTGGGGGCCGTGGCTTTTGTGCGGGCGTCGGCTCACCACGGTCCCAGGGCTCTGCCGCACACTTATACTAGTCTTGGCTGCAGGCAAGGCAAAGGCCCTACCCACTGTACTAACGCTCTGTCCCCTAACAAAGATTCTTTTCTTTTTTTTTTTTTTTGCTTTTTGGGTCACACCTGGCGATGCTCAGGGGTTACTCCTGGCTTTGCACTCAGGAATCACTCCTGGCAGTGCTCAGGGCACCGTATGGGATGCTGGGAATCGAACCCAGGTCGGCCGTGTGCAAGGCAAATGCCCTACCCGCTGTGCTATCACTCCAGCCCCCTAACAACGATTCTTTAGAGACATGTGAGCCCCTTCCTGAAGTATTCTCACTTAGGGATTTGCAAAGCCTGTGCCATGTCCCATGATTTTCATTGCTTTTGAGTCAGTCTTGGTAGTTAATAAGAAATTTCTCATTTGTAGGTGCCATACAAAATATCTATACTGGAGGCTGGAGCGATAGCACAGCGGGTAGGGCGTTCGCCTTACAAGCGGCCAACATGGCCGACCCGAGTTCGATTCCTCCGCCCCTCTCGGAGAGCCCGGCAAGCTACCGAGAGCATTCGACATGCCAGACACAGTAACAACAAAGTCTCCAATGGAGACGTTACTGGGCCCGCTCGAGCAAATCGATGATCAACGGGAGGGCCTTTACCTTTACCTTTACCTTTTTCTTTCATTTCTATAATTTATAATTATAATTTCTCCTCCATGCACACTTCTAGATGGGGCTCAGAAAACTATACTCAGTGGTCCAAATCTGGCCCCCACCTGCTTTCACAAATAAAGTTTTATTGGAACACAGTCGCCCTCATTGAAATATATATATATATATATATATATATATATATATATAATCACTATCACTATCACATTGTTCATCAGTTTATTCGAGTGAGTGCCAGTAACGTCTCCATTAGTCCCTGTCACATGCTAGTGTAGCCCAATGGCATATTGGGGGTCCTTCAGGGTCAGGGGAATGAGGACCATTATTGTTACTGTTTTTGGCATATTGAATACGCCCCGGGTAGCTTGCCAGGCTCTGCCATGTGGGCGGGATACTCTCGGTAGCTTGCCAGGCTCTCGGAGAGGGATGGAGGCTTTTTTGGGCAGCCTCTAATCACCTTTACAGGGGTTCCCAGTCAGGCATATATGTGGGCAGGATACTCTTGGTAGCCTGCCGGGTTCTCTGAAAGCGAGAATTAGACAATAAGAAGTCGCACAACCACAAATGCGGCTGCATGCTTCCGGGAGCTTGGTTTTATAGTCTCTGGATCTTGGCTGTTGATGGGGTTACACGGCAGTTGGTGGCTGTAACTGGCTAGCTACTGGAAGGTGGGGGAGCTGAGTGGAGGAGGCCCAGTCCCAAACCGAGCAGCCTTGGAGATCTCAGCCCTGGGTCCCGCACATCTGGGTTCCTCTGCCAGTTCCTTCATGTGTGAGGTTCATCCTAGCATGTGGAGAGTGGGCTCAACACGGCTGTGGCTGGGTCCCGGAGGTCTTCAGCTGCCATGCTCTGCTCAGGGTGGACATGCTAGTTCCCCTCTCCACCCTGAGCAGAGCCCCAGCAGCTGAAGACCTCCGGGAACCCAGCCACAGACATGCTGAGATCACTCTCCATATATAGTATATATAACATATATCAATTGATATACATGTTGTATGTATGGGCTGGAGCGATAGCAAAGCGGGTGGGGCGTTTGCCTTCCAAGCGGCCAAAATGGCCGACCCGAGTTCAATTCCTCTGCCCCTCTTGGAGCCCGGCAAGCTACCGAGAGTATCTGGCCCGCACGGTAATGTCTGGCAAGCTCTCCGTGGTGTATTCGATATGCCAAACACGTTAACAATTGTTACAATGGAGACGTTACCGGGCACGATCGAGCAAATCGATGGACAATGGGAGGATAGTGATAGTGACAATTATATAATATATATATAAAGGTAAAAGGTAAAGGCCCTCCCATTGATCGTCGATTTGCTCGAGCGGGCCCAGTAACGTCTCCATTGGAGACTTTGTTGTTACTGTGTCTGGCATATCGAATACTCTCGGTAGCTTGCCGGGCTCTCCGAGAGGGGCGGAGGAATCGAACTCAGGTCGGCCATGTTGGCCGTGTGTAAGGCGAACACCCTACCCGCTGTGCTATATATATATATATATACATATATATATATATTTACAGCACTATGACCAGAGAGCTCAATGAGTTGAATGCAGTTGCATGCTGGAGGTTCAGAGTCAATTCCTGGCATCCTACGTTCCCTCAAGCACAGATGGAAGCATTTTCCTGAGCATATTGCCAGAAGGAGCCCCTGAGCACCACAGGCATGACCCTGAAAAATAAAACAAAAGAAAGATGGCTTTTGCTTTGAACGCAGGAGTCCCAGATTTGATCCCTGGCACAGCATGGTCCCCTAGCACCCTGGGTGGGTCCCCAAACCCCAAACAAGCACAGCATCAGATTTGAGCAGATCTGACAAAGTCTGCATGTCCTGGAGAACCCAAATCAGGGCCAGCTTCGTGGACCTGTAACCTGTCCAGTCAAGAGAGGTGCTGAGACAGGGCCGACAATTGCTTTGATCTCCATTGTCCCCTTATTTACACTGTGCATAGGATCACATATATTAAGGAGTGAACTCCATGGGGAAGATTTACTCTCTGGCCCTCTACAGAAAATTTTGCTGACCCCCTGGATTAGAGTCAAACCTTCAATGAGATGTGAGATCATCAGAAATCTCAGGCCTGTCTGGCCCCCAAAGGTAATGACATATTACATATTCAGGTGATTCTTCTGGCACTGACTTGAAATAACATAATTATCTTGAAAGAACATGCTTATATTGTAGTTGCTCGGGGAGTGACATGACCTATGAATTGTCTCTCATTCCCATGCCTCACCCAGACCCCAACATGCATTCATGCACACGCATGAAACACAATGTACACACACATGAACACACTTCTGTCATTCTTCCACACTGTCATTTAGAATATTTTCATTCATACAAGGACACGAGTTGGGACATGAAAAAAACAATGGGTTACTGGGGGGCTGGAGCATAGTACAAGGGGTAAGGTGCTTGCCTTGCACGTGACCAGTCTGGGTTCGATCCCTGACACCATAGATGTTCCCCCACACTTCTGAGAGTGATCCCTGAGCACAGATCCAGGAGTAAACCCTGAGCACTGAAGAGTGTACCCCCACCCCCCAGAGAAACAGATCAGCTTTAGAGAGTAAAATCCCAGTTCTGACGGACTAGAACTCAGTCTCATTTATTTTTTTTTCTTTTTGGGTCACACCCAGCAATACTCCGGGGTTCCTCCTGGCTTTACACTCAGGAATCACTCCTGGTGGTGCTCAGGGGACCATATGGGATGCTGGGAATCGAACCCGGGTCGGCCATGTGCAAGGCGAGCACCCTACCCGCTGTGCTATCACTCTAGCCCCTAGAACCCAGACTCTTTTATGTCCCTTCCCTGCTTAAGTCCCTGGGTCTCTGGACACAGTCCAGTTCCTGGCTTCTTTTCCAGACCCCCAGTATCTGGCTTCTCTGTAGCTCCATGGCCTCAATGCAGCCCCTCCCCTGACCCCACTTCATGGTCACGGGCCTCTGTCACAGTGCCTGGTGCTTCCTCTCAATCGTGTCCCTGGTGATCACAATTTCTGTTGATCTTCTCAGGTGTGGCCCCCTCTTCCCTTGATGGCAGGGAAGGGTTGCACCTCCATACAGATGCAGGGCACAGTAGAGCTTAAGCCTCGTTCCTGGCACCCAGGAGATGCTGAGTTGACCTGGGCCATGGGGGTCACTTCTGGGGCCAACAGGCAGGGGACAGCCCGTCCAGCCCGTGACAGCCCATCAGACCTGCCAGTAGGACTCTGAGCCATGAACATCCCCGCTCCTGACCTGCTCCTGCACAGGGGGACAACACAGAAGGGGGTCCTGTCCCTGGAGGACATGAAATGGCCTCTCCCAGAGAGGATCCGCTCAGTCCATGAGCCCCCTAGCCCGTTGGAAAGCCTCTTTCTGATGACCACCCTGAGGAACAGCTGGCGAGCAAATGCCCTGTGCCCGCCAAGACTCTCTCTGGTGTGGTGCAGTAGGTTCGTTAGACACATGTGGGGAGGGGCGAGACCCTCCCTCAGTCCCCACTGAGGACACTATTACAGTCTCACCCACCAGATGCCGAGACAGACACTCCCCAAGTACTTTTCAAGGTTACCTGTATTTGTTCAAGGTTACCTGGGTCACAAAGTGTGAAGGATTCGGACCCAGGACTCCCAGCCCCTCTCTAGTCCGAGAGGATATCGAGAACCCTTTTGGACTCCGAGAGTGAATGTTCTATGTGGTCTTTGAGGCTTTCATGGATTCGCGTGCTGGCCTCGGGAAGGGGCTTCCTGGATGCGGATGGGCGGGTGGTGTCTCTGGAGCTTGGCACTGAGGGATGGATGATGCAGAACCACTTGCTCCGTAGAAGATTCCAGAATCCCCACCAACCTCTGGGTGGGGCGGGAAGGCAGTCAGGAGCCCACACTCGAGCCCCACATCCTGGCTCATGGCTCAGCAACACTCTCCTCTGTCTCTTTTTCCTTTCCAGTAACTTGTGTCCCTACCAGATGTCCAGGCTGGTGACCTTTGTGGCCGCTTGCAAAACGGAGAAATTCTTCGTCCACTCACAGCAACCGTGCCCACAGGGGGCACCAGACTGCCAGAAGGTCAAAGTCATGTGAGTGGGGAAGGGGGGTGGGCCGGGCCTGGGCTGGACCCTTGTTGGCTTCCCTGGGGGGAGGGGACGCTGAGCTGGTTCTGTTCCCCCAGGTACCGAGTGGCCCAGAAGCCAGTGTACCAGGTCAAGCAGAAGGTCCTGGCCTCCGTGGCCTGGCGGTGCTGCCCAGGCTTTGCCGGTCCTGACTGCCAGCTCCACGGTAGGGCTCCTGGCCTGACCCCTGACCCCACGGTCCTGCAGCCCCTCTGCCCTCTGGGGTCACTGTCCGCTGCTCCTCTCCACAGATCCCATGGCAACCCCTGAGCCCGCCGATCCAGGTGATGACTTGCAGGAGCCTTGGGACAGGCCTGTCAGCTTTGAACCCGGTACAGTGCATTCCCGAGAGGTCCAGGGAGGGGAACGGGCAGGTTGAAAGAGCCCCCACATCAGAAGGCCAGTACCAGTTCAGGTCATCTCCGACCCTCGGCATCAGCAAAGGCCCTCCGGTGGCCCTGTGCTGCTCTCTGCCCCCAGCGAGGAGGCCAGGTCAACAGCACATCTACCATCTGCCTGCTGGATCAGAAGGCGCACCCCATTACCTGGTACCCCATTATCTGACATCTTCCTTGGCCCCTCACAAGCTCCCATGGCCTGAAAGCAGCCCCCGAGCCTGACTCCACATGGGGATGCTACTGAGGACTCTTCCAGGGCTGGGCCCAAGGCCTGAAAAGTGATTCTCTTCCTCACCGGGTGAATTAACTGTCTTCCAGCAAGGGAGGCCAAGAAGGCCAGGTGCACGTGACAGAGGTTGAGCAGGCGGGCCTGGCTCTCGCTAGCCCTGAGTTTGTCCTGGGGTGGGTCCTTCGTAGCACCCCCTCCCTGCTCTCAGTCCCCACCCCTTCCCTGCACCCCCTCAAACCTAAGGAGCGGCAGTCCCCACTCACCTGCCATGTGTCTGCAGAGCGCCAGGCCCCATGGTGGAGCACTGCCCCGGGAGATGTGCAGAATGACTTGGACCAGGAGGATGACTTCCCCCCTGCCGCGTGGGAGGCCCTGGCGGACAACCTCACAGCTGTGGTGACAGAGATCAACCAGACTGAAGCCAACCAGACGGCCTTTGGTGAGTGACAGGCCAGGTGAGGAAAAGCCTAGCCACAGCCAAAGGGATAAGTGGGAGGGGAGACAGGAAAGGCCCAACCCCCCAAGTCCCCCACACTCCCCAGAGAGCGACGTAAAGACACCCATCATTTCAGAGGTTCTCTCCCCCCCCAAGAATGGGATCAAAACATCCATCATTGGGGTTCGAGTAATAGTACAGCGCGTAGGGCGTTTGCCTTGCATGCGGCTGACCCGGGTTCAATTCCCAGCATCCCATATGGTCCCCCAAGCACCACCAGGGGTAATTCCTAAGTGCATGAGCCAGGAGTAACCCCTGTGCATCGCTGGGTGTCACCCCTACCCCCCAAAAAGTCTATCATTGCAGGGGTTCCTAAGAGTCCCGCCAGTCCCCCACCCCCCAGGGGATGGGGTAAAAAACGCCTGTCATTGCAGGGCTTCCCGAGAGACCCCTGGAGCAAGCGCTGCTACTGCACGTGGACTCCTTCCTGCGCCAGCACTTCGGGCCCCTGTGGAGAAGTTTCAACCAGAGCCTGCACAGCCTCTCCGAGGCCGTCCGAAACGTGTCCCGCGAGCTGGACGCCCACCAGCAGGCCCTCGGGCAGCTTCAGGCGGGCACCGTGGCCAAGGCTGACCTTCAGGAGCTGGGTGCCAAATTCGAGACCAAGATCCAGGAGACGGCCCAGAAGATGGACCAGCTGCAGGAGGACGTGGAGGACCGGCTGCACGCTCAGCACCTTTCCGTGCAGATGTCCCTCTCGGAGGTGGAGAACGACGTGGACGCCAAGTTCAAGAAGCTCCTAAAGGCCCAGGAGTCCGAGGGCAGTTTGCTGCTGGCGGCGGCGGCGGCAGCGGGGGCCCGGCCGGAACCCGAGAGCCTGCAAGCCAGGCTGGGCCAGCTGCAGAGGAACCTCTCGGCGCTGCTGGTGGCCACCGGTCAGAGGGAACAGGAGCTGCGCGTCACGCTGGCGGACATGGCAGCCACCCTGGCCCAGCACCGGGACGAGATCAAGGAGCTGTACAACGAGTCGGACGAGACGTTCGATCAGATCAGCAGGGTGGAGCGGCTGGTGGAGGAGCTGCAGGTGAACCACACGGCGCTGCGCGAGCTGCGCATCATCCTCATGGAGAAGTCCCTGATCCTGGAGGAGAACAAGGCGGAGCTGGAGCGCCAGATCCTGGAGCTCAACCTCACCCTGCAGCAGGTGCAGGGCGGCCACACGGACCTCATCAAGTACGTGAAGGGCTGCAACTGCCAGAAGCTCGACTTGGACGCCGAAGGCATCCCCAGGGACACCCCACGGGCCCTGGAGGAGGAGGAGGAGGAGGAGGAGGAGGAGGAGGAGGAGGAGGAGGAGGAGACCCGCGTGCACCAGGGCGCGCGGCGCCCGCAGGACGGCTCCTCGCTGCGGGCCCTGCGCGGCGCCCTGGACGCCCTGTCGCTGGCCGTGGACGCGCAGCGGGACGACAGCTCGCGCGCGCAGGTCGACCTGGCGCGGCTCCGGAGCGAGCTGCAGGCGCTGGGCCGCGAGGTGAGCGCGCTGCAGGCCACCGAGGGCGCCGTGCGCCGGGAGATCGGCCTGCTGCACAGCTCCTTCGCGGCCCTGCTGGACGACGCGCTGCGCCACGAGGCCGTGCTGGCCGCGCTCTTCGGGGAGGAGGTGATGGAGGCGATGAACGACGAGGCGCCCGGCCCGCTGCCGCTGGGCTACGAGCAGATCCGCGTGGGCCTGCAGGAAGCGGCCAGCGGGCTGCAAGAGCAGGCGATCGGCTGGGACGTGCTGGCGGCGCGGGTGACGGCCCTGGAGGAGCAGGCTGCGGGGGACGGGGTGGGCAGGGCGCGGCCCCTGCTGCCCACGGCGCACCTGGAGCCCAGCCACGACGCGTCGCCCGAGGAGGCCAGCGGGACGGACCTGGCGGGGCTGGCGCAGGAGCTGCAGCGTCTGAGCACCGACGTGAAGCGCGTGGGCCTGTGCTGCGAGGCCGCCGGCGCCGCCGCCACCAACAGCTCCCTCGAGGGGCTCCGCCAGGCTCTGTCCACCGCCGAGCGCGGTTGGGAGCAGCACCAGATGCTGTTCCGCAGCCTCTTTGGTAACTTCCAAGGGCTTCTGGACGCCAATGTCAGCCTGGACCTGGGGAAACTGCAGGCCATGCTGAACAGGAAAGGGAAGAAGCAGAAGAAAGGCTTGGAAGCTCCCAGGAGGAGGGACAGGAGAGAAGCCGACCCTTGGGCGGACGAGCAGGGCCTCCGGCCCGTGCTGGACACGCTGGGAGCAAAGCTCCGGGCGGCAGGTGAGTTCTGGGCGCGCCTAGCAGGGGACTAGTGCAAGCAGCTCTGCACACAGACACGGGGTCTGGTTACGGACATCAGGAAAATCCTCGGTGAAGACGACTCAGGGGGCGGAGAGAGTACAGGGATTAAGGCCCTTGCCTTGCACACATCGAACCCTGGTTCAGTCTCCAGCACCACATATGTTGCCCTGAGCACAGAGCCAAGAGTAAGCCTTGATCACAGTCAGGTGTGGCCCCAATCTCTCTCTCTCTTTCTTTCTTTCTTTCTTTCTTTCTTTCTTTCTTCCTTCCTTCCTTCCTTCCTTCCTTCCTTCCTTCCTTTCTTTCTTTCATCTTTTAACCCAACCTTAAAAAGCAGAACAGGGGCCAAATGATAGCACAGTGGCGGGGGTGTTTGCCTTGCACAATCCCGGGCATCCCATATGGTCCTCCAAGTACTGCCAGGAGTGATTCCTGAGTGCAGAGCCAGGGGCAACCCCTGAGCATCACTGGGTATAACTCAAAAAGCAAAAAAAAAAAAAAAAAGCAGAACAAAAACTCCTACCCAGATGGATGGGCTGGGGCTTGCCTTTGACCCACCTTCCATTCCTGGCCGGTTGCCTCTTAACCCTACCTGCAACCTGCAGTATAGAGTGGTAGAAGTCTTAGAATGACTGCATTCATTTGTTTGCTATAAAATATCCAAGGCCAGGGAAAACAGGCCAGGAGAGAGTACAGGGGTTAAGGAATGGTCAGTGGTTGGAAGCTTCCCACAAGTATGGGGGAGGGGGGCAGAGGGCAGTTAGAATAGAGAACGGACCGGTGTGACAGTAATAGTTGGGAATGATCACTATGGATGAGAAATAAATGTTGAATGTAGGTAAGGGATATACGTGATGGCCTTTCAGAATCTGTATTGCAAGCCATAATGTCCAAAAGGAGAGAGAGAGAGAGAGAGGAAGAGAGAGAGAGAGAGAGAGAGAGAGAGAGAGAGAGAGAGAGAGAAGAAAAGTACCTGCCTTAGAGGCAGTTGGGGTGGGAACAGTCAGGGTGGAAGGAAACTGGAGACATTGGTGGGAAACGTGCGCTGGCGAAGGCGTGGGCGTTGGAACATTGTGTGACTGAAACCCAGTCATGAACAATCATGAACAATGGCCAGTGCAGTGCCCAGGAGCTGGCCCCTTCCCTTCATGTGTGCAGTCATGCATGGGTGGCTGCCACAGAGGCACAAGGAGAGGCAATGCCTCCCTTCCACGCTCCACCTCACATTCCTCTGTCACTGCTCTTTCTCGCTTCACCCCCAGATGTCCTTAACCAGCTTTCTCCTGTGTAGACCAGTGTATGTGCGTGTGTGCGTGTTTGTGTATGTGTGTATGTGTGTGTAGTGTATGTGCATGTGTTTGTGTGTGTGTGTGCATGTGCGTGCGTGTGTGTGTGTGTGTATGTGTGTGTGTGTGTGTGTGTGTGTGTAGGGGCTGAATGCAGGGCCTGAAGGCTGCTCGTTCCACAGAGCAGTTGATCCGTCTCCAGGCTCAGTGTCCTCTCAGCAGTGTCCTTGCCACAATGAAGCATCCCAGCATTGTTGTATTGTCACTGGAAAGGTACAGAGGACCCTACACCCCAACCCTGCTATCTGTAGAGTGCTGACCCTTCCCTGTGCAAACCCACAGTGGTTGTCCCTATAGGCCCAGGGTCCCAGTAAAGTTCAGGCTGCAGTGAGGAGCAGCCAACCTTCCATCCCCGTCCTGTGGGGGGGGTCCCCGGGAGGGAGACCCGCCAGGCCCTACACCTCAAATGAGTTTCCTGCCAGAGAGGCTGCCCTCGGGGCCATGACCACCTCCCTACCCACACTCGGGGCTACGCTCGAGCCAGCCCCTGGGCTGTTTCCCTTGGGAGTCACCCGGGCTATTGCCTGGCAGAAGTTCTAGACTTTGCTCGGGTGACCTTCTATTGTGACCCCAGATGTCATGACAGAGCACCACCACTCACTTATCTCAGCATCGTTCTCTAAATAGGAGAATCCAGACCTGTCAAGGATGTTATGGAGACTGAGAAGTAAACTTTCCCAGCGTAGTTTTAAAAATAGAAACTTGTCAATGTTTTTCCTGTTTCGCCAGCATTTTGGGGGCTGCCGCCTTGTCTGCTTCTGCAGGAACGATCACCTTCTCCCCTCTTGTGAGTGGTGCTAGGAATGCCCACTTTCAGAATTTGCCTGATGGCTTTGGTACTTGTTTATCTCTGCAATATATTATTTTTTAAAAGTTCCCTTGGGGCTGGAGAGAGAGTACAGAAGGTAGGGTTCTTGCCTTTTATGCGGATGACCTGGGTTTGATCCAAGCACCCCATATGGTCCCCAAGCCCACCAAGAGTGATTCCTGAGTGCAGAGTCAGGAGTAAGCTCTGCAAACAGCTGGATGTGGCCCAAAATTTTAGAAATAAATAAATAAAAGAGAGAAAAGAAGAAAAAAGAAAGGGGGAAGAAATAAAAAGGGGGTGGGTAGGTCCCTTTAGAGCCAGAGAGATAGAATTGAGATTAAGGCCCTTGATTTGCACCTGGCTGGGCCTGGTTGATCCCCAGCACCCTCATCCCGGCACCTTCACCCCAGCACCCTCGTAAGACCCCTGAGCACAGCGCCAGAAGAAAGCCCTGAGCACCACTGGGTGTGGCCTGGTTTCCTCCAACCTCCCTCCCCTGAAAAAAGATACTTTCCTTATTGAATTTGTAGCCCTTGGGGAACCCCTCAGTAAGCTTGTGATCAAATCTGACCTTCCCAACTTCTGAGGAGCAGAGGGGGTGGGTGGGGTGTGTGAAAGTCGCCACCATAAAGCCCAATTCTAAGCCAGCCGTGGAGACCCAGAGAGGAAATGAGTTGCCAGCAGAGGGCGCTCTAGACAGGGGCTCCGTCAGCTGGAGAAGCCCGCCACCTCCTGGATGTTGGGGGAACTGCAGAGCCAGCGCCGGGCCTTTCCTGTGATCCCATCTTACATAAACAGGAAAGCTATTCTCTTTTAATTCCCAGAAAATCTTCCAGAACTCGGGGAAAGCAAACTTTGAATCATGCTCAAGACTACTACTGGACTGTGAGCCAAAGAGCTGGGGCTTCAGTTCCGGATCCTAAATCATCAATGTGATGCGAACTGTCCCTTGTTTTCATTCCGGGAGAAACAGGGAGGTTGGTCTCAAGGAGAGCAGAGGAGGGACAGGAGCGTTGACAGCGTCAAGCTGAGCGTCAGGTCATGGCTGGGATCCCAGTGGGACTCAGCCCTTTGTGTCACGTTTCCCTCCCCTGCCTGAGCTTCTGGGGCTCCTTCCTTACCAGGCAAGTGCCCTCGCCACTGGCACTGTAGGGCCAGGGAGCCCCTCTGAGTGTCTTGCCATCCTTACCCTCCGAAAGCTGACTCCTGTGCCCCCTCCAGGGCAAAGTATACCCAAAATCAGGGCTTCCAAGGATGGCTCCCACTTTGTCATCTCTTTTCTTCTGTTGGGGGCTTGAGGTGGGCCACAACTGGCTGTGCTCAGGACTTACTTATAGCTCGGTGCTCAGGGATCACTCCTGGCAGGGCTCAGGGGACCATATGTGGTGTTGGGGGGGGAGGGGGTTGAATCCAGGTTGGCCGCGTGCAGGGCAAGTGCATTATTCACTGTGCTGTCTCTCTGCCCCCTTGACATCTTTTTCTCTTGTGTGTTTGAAGATTCCCACAGGGGACGGGAGACTCAGAGTTCAGTCCCAATCTGCCACTTGCCCCTTGAGTATCCCACATCCCACAGGCAAAGCACCCACATTCCTCACTCATGGCTACAGCAAGTTTTCACTTGATAGCTCACCAACCATTCCCAGAATGTGAAGAACTCAAACAGGACTTTAAACAATAACAGCAACTCCCATCCTAAGAGGAACCTCCCAACACCCTTTATTTGGTGCTCCCTTCTCTATCTGAGCTGCCCTATCCCCTAGCTTGTGCGGCTGGCTTCAAAGCCATGGAGTAATCCTCCTGGTACTTATCTTGGCTATTCTTGGGTGTTAGTCTCCTATTTTGTTACTTTATGATCCCCGGGGATGGGGGGGTGGGAGGGATACTGGGATCAGTGGTGGTGGAGAATGAGCACTGGTGGAGGGGTGGGTATTCGATCTTTATATAACTGAAACCCAAGCACAAAAATTTGTAAGTCTACAACTGTACCTCATGGTGTTTCACTAATAAAAATTTAAGGGGAAAAAAACAAATAACATCAAACAGGTACTGGGTCAGAGAGAGTTCTTAAGGGGCTGGAGACATTTTTGCTTGCAGGAGGCCCAGGTTTGATCCCCCAGACACCACCAGGTGCAGGAGACCCCCCACCCCACCCCACCCAAGCATTGTCCTCTTGTCCAGAATGGGGGAAGGCAAAGGGATCGCACAGGGAAGTGCTTGGCTGAAATGCACGTTAGCAGAAGCAGAGACGGTATCTTCCTTCTCACAACTAGTGAGATACTGAGCCTTGGCCGGTTCCCTCCCAGTCCAAGAGGAACCGCTGCTGGGAATTTCTGGGCCACCTAAAAATAGCGACCTATTTCTAAAGTTTAGAAGGTGAAGACAGGTCTCAGGTTTAAGATCCCAGCTGAGGGTGGGAGGGACTGGTCACTGACCCTTTCCTCCTGTGTTCCAGGCTCCCCTGTGGCCTTCTACTCCAGTTTTTCGAAGGGAACAACTGCTCTAGAGACGGTGAAGTTCAACACCACTTACCTCAACATCGGCAGCGGCTACTTTCCTGACACCGGCTACTTCCAAGCTCCCGAGCGCGGGGTCTACCTGTTTGCAGTGAGCCTTGAATTTGGCGCCGGGCCAGGCGCTGGGCAGCTGGTATTCGGAGGTCACCACCGGACCCCTGTTCACAGCCTGGGGGGCAACACGGTGACGACCTTTGCTCTGGCGGAGCTGCAGAAGGGAGAGAGAGTGTGGTTCGAGCTCACCCGGGGATCCATCGTAAAGAAAAACCCTTCGAGCACTGCCTTTGGGGGCTTTCTGATGTTCCAGACCTGAGTGCTGGGATAGCTCTGTGAGCCGGTGAGGACTTGCCCGGTTTGCTTGGCGGGGGGCTCCGGGTAGGCTTGGTCTGATGACCATCCAGCAGCCAAGCTCCTCCCTGGACACCTGTGTAGGCACGGCTGTGTGGCCTTCCTCTAGAACGCTGGGTCTGGAGCACTCTTGATGATGAGAAGTTCCCAAGCGCGTCTCCTGGGCGGGATTTGGTCTAAGGGACCTGTGAGCCTTTGGAGGCGGCAGGGACTGGACTCAGCCCTCCACTCAGCTGTGGCACAGACTGTAGGTTCGCTCCTTCTGCAAATGGAACTCCCTTACAGCACTGAAAACCTTCCCCCCACGTCCTCTTTTTCCTACTCTTAGGTTCAGAAATCATATTCCCCCCGCCCCCCCGAAGGTGTATATTTAAAATAGAGCTAACCAGGCTCCAAGGCCTGCAGAATAATAGGAAAAAAAATCAATCTCTTTGATTTCATTCATGAGATAGAGAAATCAATCTCTGGGTGAGCTAACCAAGAGAAACAAAACCAGCTATCTTTTTAGTTTCAATCCGTTACTAACTTCCGTTTCTTTTTTTCTCCTTGCCTAGTGAGGGTAGGGTAAAGGCTCAGACACAAGCACCGTGGGGATAGCCATTCCCATTTTGGCCTTCTGCAGGAGCACCACGATTATTATTTAGCATCTCTAACCAGGAAGGGAACTGAGGGACGAAGGAACTGAAGACTGTAAAAGAAAAAAAAATCTCCCTCAATAATGGTCAATTTTTGAATAAAGCGATGCCCTTCAAATCTCTGTTGGTTTGCTTATGGAGAGCAAAAAAGTTTGGGAAAAGTGGTAAAATGTGGGACCAAAAGAACCTCTTGGGATAAAGTGACTCTCATGATTCCAATCCATGTCTAGCCTCAGGATTTGTTAATTCAACATGAAACACTCAATTTTCTCCACTCTAGACATTGACATTGATACTGGACTAAATAGTATTACTCTGATGCAATTTCTCCTACTCAGATCCTGGAGCAAGCAGGTATGCAGTCTACTTAGTAGGGTTCACATGGTTTCCAGCCCTTCTCATTATTTTCAAGGGGACATTCACTTGCATAAGTGTCCCTCAGAATTTATTTTCCACTAATATTCATGTATCTGATGTAATAAAGGAGTAGTTTGGACTGGCAGATAGCTTTGGGGGTCAGGGACACTCGCCTGTCTGCACAAGGGTCCGGGTACAATGCCCAATACTGCATGCCCTGCGCCCCAAGCACTGGATATAGTGCTTGAAGGCTGGCACTGAGCACCCATCACAGAGAGCTAGGACCACAGAAGGAGGAAGCCCACACATGCAGACACAAGTCACCTTACTAAACCTACAGAAGTCAATCCAGAGGTACCATCAAAATAATTTCTCATTTCACTTTTATCTCAGAAACATTATGAATAGGTGCTACGGTCTCGTAAAATGTTTCTTAGAATCCTGCCTCTGGGGTTTGAGCAATAGTACTGTGGGGAGTGCACTTGACTTGTGCTTAGCCAACTCAAGTTCAATCCCTGATAACACATATGGCCCCCCAGAAAACCTCCAGGAGTGATCCCTGAGCGCAGAGCCAGGAATAAGACCTGTGCACTGCTGGGTGTGGTCCAACACAAAATTTCTCTTCCACTCTTAATTTTTGTTGCCTTTTGTTTGTTTTGGGAATTTATGCCACTCCCAGCACTGCTCAGAGCTTATTCCTGACTCTGCACTCAGAATTACTCCTGGCAGTGTTCAGGGGACCATATGGTGGATGGGTGGCTGGGGATTGAACCTGGGTTGGCCATGTGCAAGGCAAGTTGCCCTACCTGCTATTCTATCACGCCAGCCCTCTTTCCACTTCTTTGTCCTTTTCTCCACCATCCCAGAAAACATGGCTCTTGGCTGTCTTTCCACAAGACGTTAGGTTCAAGTGGTCCCTGGCCATGGAGAAAGAATAGAATTCCTTCGTGGATTTAGTGGAAACTGGTAATAAGATCACGTACAAGTCTAAGAGGAGACACTACTCTAGAACTAGGCTGTGTCTGCAGGAAAAGCAGACAGGATGGCATGAACACGTGGTGAGAGCCCATGGGCATCTGGCACACCAGGCTGAAACCATCTTTGGGATCAGTCGGGTTTGATTAGGAAATCTTTGTCCTTCTCTGCTTCTGTGCCTAGTTTGCAGACACTGAAAACAAAACAAAGCAAAACAAAACAAAACAACAACAACAAAAAACAAATCCCACTCCTCTTGGAATCCTGGGTTTATCTTCAAAAGCTCCATCAATGGTGCTAAGGAATGATAGAGCCAAATATCCCAACCAGAGTCAACAACACTGAAATCATCAGACCCAAACTTAAACTAATGAACTTCAGAAGGTGCTTGTCAAAATGGCAGGCTGGGTGCATGGGGGTAGGAGAGGGATCCTGGGAATACTGGTGGAGGAAGTTGGCATGGTTGGTGGGATCAGCACCAGAACATTATATGCCTGAAACGCAACTATGAAAAACGTTGTAAAGCACGGTGCTATAATTTTTTTTTTTTTAAAAAGAAGCTCCGCCTGAGCTCAGCCTAAACTATTCCTCCGACCTCCTCATCCCGGAAGCTGCTTCCTGAACGTGCTCTGAAAATGACCTTCCCCACCCAGCTTCACCAGGGACCGAACTCAGGTCTCACATATGTAAGGCACCAGCTTTATTACTGAGCCACCTCCCTAGCCTGGATGGCAACACTTTTGGAGGTGTGAAAGTTAAGTAGAGTGGGAAAGCGCAAAGTCTGAGCCAGTTTGGGGTGAAAGGCATTCTTTCTGCTATTTTTACAGCTTTTCTGACAAGATTAAAACAAAAAATATAAAAATGTAAAAGATTGGCTTTTGAAGCAAGATAGCTTTTACTGAATTGAACTTCGAAAGATGTCACGGGAGAGAAAAAAGAGGAAGTACGTATTCAAGAGAGAACACGGGCTTTTCCAGAGTGGAAAAAGCAAACAGAGAGACAGAGACGAACAGGCAAGATACTGTGTTCAAGGAGAGAATATGGGCATGCCCTGAAAAACAAGCCTAAAAAAAAAAATTGGGGGGTGGGGTTAGGGGGTGCAGGGCACAACCAGCGATGCTCAGGGGTAACCCCTGGCTCTGCACTCAATAATTACTCCTGGTGGTGCCCATTGGCTGCTCCCGCGCCCCAATGTTTGTCTTTTTAAGTGAAAAAGAAAGTACAAACAATTCTATCACACAATTCTATATGTGACTTTTGAAGGAGGGAGGTTTGAGCCACACCCAGTGGTGCCCAGGGGCTACTCCTGGCAGTGGCACCAGGCAGAAGTCCTGTCTCTTTCCAGCACGCTCAGCATCTGTGAGCCGAGCTCTCTCGTTGGCAGACTCCTTAAGAGCGACAAGGAATGCTGAAGACCATCTTCAGAGTTAGATTCTATCCTGAACTACCGGCTAAGTATGAGGAAAGAACCAAATCATAAAACGAGAGCTTCGTGTTTGATTTAAATACCCGCTACAATAGTAGCTTTTTTATGCCAAAAATTTTGAAGTTTGAGTCTTTTTTTTGTGGGGGGGGGGGAATGTTTTCAACAATTTTGGGGATTGCAGACATATGCTTAGATAGAGCCTAGGTTTTTCAACCCTATATGAGATCAGGGAACTGAATGTGCAGCTCATTTTTATTTATTTCTATTTGGGGTACACATCCAGCAGTGCTTATAAGTCACTCCTGGTAGTGCTCAGGGGTTCATAATGCAGTGCTGGGGATTAAACCAGGTTTGCCAAGTGTAAGAAGGCCCCATAACCTCTTACTTATCTTTGTGATCCTATGTACGTCTTTTTAATTTTTAAAACATTTTTATTATTTTTTTTTCTTTTTTGGGCCACCCCTGGAATTCTCAGGAGTTACTCCTGGCTCGGCATTCAGAAATTACTCCTGGTAGGCTTGTGGGAACATATGGGATGCCCAGGATCGAACTTTGATCGACCTCCTGCAAGGCAAACGCCCTACCCACTGAACCATCTCTCTGGCTCCTGTGGCAGTAATTTTAAAGTAAATTTATTTGATTATCAGTAACTTTTTGACTCGACTTTATACACTTACATACCTAGGGTCATTAAAAATGTCTCAGGTGGAAAGAGTTCCAAGGCAAAGAAATCTAAGAAGCCCTGGCCTGGAGCAACAGATATGCCTCATCAACCTGGATTTTTACTTGCTTATAAATGTGCTTTAGAAATTCCCCTTCTCAATAAGAGAGGCCAAATAACTTGTATTTATTTATTTATTTTTTGTGTCACACCCCCCGCAACGCACAGGGGTTACTCCTGCCTCTGCACTCAGGCATTACTCCTGGAGGTGCTTGGGGGACCAGATGGAATGTTGGGAATCGAACCTGGGTTGGCCGCGTGCAAGGCAAATGCCCTATCACATTGCTCCAGCCCTGCCAAAGTCTTTCTTTCCACTACCTTGAACTATTTCAAATATAGGCATTCCACACTGGCTTTTTAAATAATGGCAATGAATTTCACATTCCCTGCATACAGTTTTGAGCGAGTACAGGAATCTCAGCACCAGCTTCACTGGGCATTTGAAATGGCCTTGGAATCTCATTTGACATGTACATATACACTTTCTGATTGAAAGTGACTGGACAAAGACCAGGAAGACAAAGTTCAGAGTATTAACTGAATACTAACACACACACACACACACACACACACACACACACACACGTAAAATTGAGACCAGGAAACCAGACAGGACAACGAGTAGGGCATTTGACTTATACGTGGCTGACTTGGGTTTGAGCCCAGTACCCCATTTGTTTCCTGAGCCCAATTAGGAGTGATCCCTGAGCAAAGAGGCAGAAATAAGCCTTAAGCACCATCAGGTGTGGCCAAAAGACAGAAAACAAACAAACACAAACAAAAAGAGAACAGGTGGGCCAGAGGGATAGCCCAATGGGCTGGAACACTGTCACTGTCCTCCTGTTGTTCATCGATTTCCTCGAGCGGGCCCAGTAACGTCCCCTTTGTAAGACTTGTTGCTACTGTTTTTGGCATATTGAATATGTCACAGGTAGCTTGCCAGGCTTTGCCGTGCGAGCGAGATACTCTCTGAGAGGGGTGGAGGAATCAAACCCGGCTCAGCTGCTCACAAAGCAAATGCCCTACCGCAGTGCTATCGCTCCAGTCCTGGGCTAGAGCACATACTTTGCATACAGAAGGCCTGTCTGCCATCTCGAGCACCACCAGGAGTGACCATTGAAACCAGAGTTGGGAGTGGCCGGAGCACCACCAGGTGAGCGCCTGCACGCCCTCCCCCAGTAAAAAATGAGAATAGCTATCTCTGCCTCAAAGGTTAGCTATTGACTTACTTTTCTGCTTGTCTTTGCTTTTATCTGAAACAATTTGTGTGTGTTCCTGAGTTGTCTCCTTTTATTTTTTTTTTTGCAGGGGGAGGGGCAAACCTGGCAGAACTATGTAGTAGCCGGGATGCAGAACATGTGAACTAGTCCCTTGGACTATCTCTCCAGTCTGATCTTAATTAATTCTATAAATTAATTTGACTGTAAATACTATAAATAGTATCACTTGTCATCCCGTTGCTCATCGAGTTGCTCGAGCGGGTGCCAGTAACGTCTCCATCCGTCCCTGTCGCATACTAGTGTAGCCCAGTGGCATCTGCTCGCTCCAGGAACACGTAGAGCCTCAAACCATTAGTTCTGAACGAACGAACAAACCATAAATAGTATGAAGAAAATCTGGGAAATGGCTCGCTCTTCTTTTCCCCAACAATTCTTAGCCAAGTGGGCCAAAGCATCAATGCAAGGGGGACCTACAT